GCGCCCGGAGCTGGCGGGGCCGTGAGTGCTGCACGGGTGGGCCTCGGGACGGGAGCGGCCGGGATCGCGAGTCGCTCCGCGCAGAGACTGGAGGGAACCTCGACCAAAAGGGGAAGACGTCGCCTGCTCGTCCCCTAGAAGTCGCGACAAAACGCTCGGAGGCCGCAGCAGCCGGACGGGCGTCCTCGCCCCGCACTGGTCCGCGAGGGAGGGAACGCAGCCCGGGACACGCGCTCATCCCGCACGGGACCTGGATGGACCTGGATTTCGGGACTTCGGCCGCCGCCCGGTCTCAGGGCCCGACTCAATATTCACCCACGTTCCGGGACCAAGAGGCTTGGAAGAGGCTTGGTGGTGACTGCTGCTCAGATTTCCTGGGGGGGGGAATCACCTTCTGAAACTACCACCCCCAGTATTTATAGTTTGGAGTTTCAAAACGACAAAGAACTACGGAGGACCCTGGTGTCGCCCTAATTGCCTTGGCCATCCGGAAGGCTGCACCCCAGCGCGGCGAGTGCTCACCTGCGCGAAGAAGAGCGGCGCTGCCTCCCGTTTTTATGTCCTGCAAAGTCCCAGAAGGGCCGTTCAACAGTTTGCACGTTTCCTAAGGACACGTTTTTTATGATGGCATATTTCTTACTTCCATAAACAACAATAAATAATGAACTTTCACTTGAGCTGTCGCTTCTTAGCACACCGAGAGGAACGAGAGTTGTAAACTTATGCCTGCCTCTTGAAGTCGACAACATTTAACTTTATAAACTCCCAAACTGTAGAAGTCGGGAGAATGGGTTTTAACGTCTGTTTTACGTTTGCCAACACTTAATGTCAGTTTTCATTAATCCTCACGATCTGCTGCCTAACCCTGAACTCATCATGGATAACATTCAAGACCCGGAAGGAGGCTCGGAGGGATCTGACCGTGTATATCTGTGTGTGTCCCCTGGCTCTGCCTTTCTTCCACACTGTTGCTTGAGACTTCTTCACCTGGTTTCTTCTTTCTTCTGTAGCATCAGCGACCAAAACTAACCCATAGGCTGCAATAATACCCTGATTTTAAAGTACCTGGAAATTCAGGGTCCATCAGTTCCCTGGCTATGTGACATAGCCCATCGTGTTTAGTTTTTTAAGCTCCTGGCTGTCCCAATCTCTTAGTGAATTGGACTTGCCTTCAGGCCTCGTTCATTTTTTTT